TGTGCCAAACCCAGTGAGTCAGAGACTGCAGGGGAACAATACTCAGAGCCAGGCCGGCTCTAGGATTTTTGCCGCCCAAAGCAAAAACATTTGGCCCATTCCCCCCCCCCCCCCCCGCTTCTTTAATTACCCCACTCCCTGCCCCGCCTCAACTCCGCCCCTTCCCCAAATCCCCAGCCCTGCCTCCTCCCCCCAGGCTCTCAAGCGTGGAAGGGAGAGGGAGAAGCAGCACCTACGCAGCGGCCACTCGGAGTCCCCCTGCCCCCCCCAGGTTTGAGAGCCTGGGAGGGAGGGGGAGACTCCGAGTGGCCGCGGCGCGGGCGCCACTTCTCCCCCGCCCTCCCAGGCGTGGGAGGGAGGGGGAGCAGCGGCGCACGAAACGGCTGCTCGAGATCTCCCCCTCCCTCCCAGGTTTGAGAGCCTGGGAGGGAGGGCGAGTAGCAGCGAGCGAATCAGCTGTTTCGCGCGCCGTGGCGAGCTAGGGTGGCCGGGGTACATTTTTAGGGGCGGCATTCTGGCGCCGGCCATGCCGCCCCTAAAAATGTGCCGCCCCAAGCACCAGCCTGTTTTGCTGGTGCCTAGAGCCGGCCCTGCAGAGAGGGGAGGTCGTGGCTTGGGAGCGTGATGGAAAGTCAGCGAGGAGGAGAGAAAATGTAACCCACGTTGTAAAAGTTCGTAAGCTGGAAAAGTACGCCCCCCTGGCTGACACCCTGAGAGTGAAGGGCTATGAGGTGCAGATGGACGCCCTGATTGTCGGAGCCCTGGGCGCCTGGGACCCCTGCAACAAGCGTGTGCTGCGGACCTGCGTGATCGGTCGATGCTACGCACGTCTCTTGCGGCGCCTCATGGTCTCAGACGCTATCCGATGGTCCAGGGACATCTACATCGAGCACATCACCAGCCACCGCCAGTACCAGGAGGCGTGAGCTAGAGTGACATCGTTCTCCCACTACGAGAAAGGGACCAAGTGACCTTCTCCGTTGGATCATATGAACTAGAACCATAAACTCCCTAAACATTAAATCTCACCAAATGAGGGTCAATCCATCCTCATCATCATATCCACTCATTATAATCCACACCCGCACATAGCCACTTTATGAACTTCATACCCTCATATCTCAATGTCTGTATTTTGACCCATCAACCTTTTACCCCCAATCGGGGATATTGCAGATTATGTATTCCTCATGCCACCTTATCTTAAACCAAACTTTGCACCCCCTATAATCTGTATGTTATTCCCTGATAACCAGAAACTTCTATGCTCAAACTCTGTTCTACATTTTTTTTTTTTTTTAAGATCGGGGTGAAAGTAAGCCAGTACGGGCCTGTATGGCATACCGGTAAAAAGTGGCCACCAATACCAGCTGACATTAAAGCGCTGCTGGCCGTGCTTTAACGTGTCTACCCCTTTTGCGCCCTCTATCTGCGGCCCTGCCAGGTCCCTACTGGCAGGGCTGCTGACAGGGAGGGGGTCCAAAAGGGGCAGCAATGTTAAAAGCGCTGTGGTGGCAAAGGACCCTGCTTAAAGTGTTTTAAATTGCCACTGGAGCACCTGGTGGTGCAGGCCAGGCAGCACAGATGGGCTGGTTGGGGGAGCCATCCCCATACCGGTAAGTGTTGAGTGTTACTTTCACCCCTGAATAAGAGCTTTGTAAACGCAGTGACCTGGCAGTGCCCCAGTATGTTAAAGTGAAAAAGAAAAAATACAACCTAAGGAAGAGCCTTCCTCTCTCTGTCCATCGTGTATGGTTCATCTGTTTGGATGGAAACCTCCAGTTCCTAGGAACGATAGTTTGTGGTATGCTTTCCACAGCAGCAAGCATTTAACAGAATAATCTCAAAATGATTCACTTGCCCATGTGTAAAGTGTGACATACATGGTGCTTATGCATGCTCAACATCATAATTCAAGGAAATAAGGTTTAGCATTGAAGGCACAGTTAGCAACAGGCTCTTTTGCATAGGAAGAGAATCCCAGACTTCGTAAATGTGTAACTAAGACTAAGAGTGAAATGGTTTTTGTTTTTTTTTAAAGAAATCCCTCAGACAGAGACAAGCACCTACAAGATCTCTATCAAGCATTCTTAAAACTACAATACCCACCTG